GACACTGTGGCCCTATGCTGTGGGAGGAGGTGTGACACCGTGGCCCATCCTCGTGGCCTATGCTGTGGGAGGAGGTGTGACACCGTGGCCTGTCCTCGTGGCCCTGTGCTGTGGGAATGTGTGCGTTATCGAGGACTTCTTCAGGGGCTTTGGTGACACAGTGGTTACGTCAGGTAGCTAGATCAGGGCCAGGGGGTTGCCCCTCTCTTGCCTGCACAGGCCTCCCGGCCTAGAGGAGTTTGGGAAGAGATCAGGCGCCCATTAGACACCTCTGAAGACCCGAAATGAGCATGCTCAAATTCAAGCCCTCAGCCAGGTGGGAGGTACACCTGGGCAGTCCAAACTAGGTCCAGGCCCTTCATTTCACCAGGTGGGCTTAACACAGCCAGTGGGGTCAACCCCTACCTTCAACCACGCGTGCCCCAGCCAGCATGTGGGCCAGGTAAAGGCAGGACGCATCCTCTGGGAAGAAGGTCTTCTCTTCCCTCTGCCCTCTCGTGCCCAGCGCGCTCTCTGGCCGTAGTCCTCTTGCCCTTTCTCCCTTGTCCCCTCGGTCCCTGAGATCCCTCCCCCAGTTCTGCACGTGTGGGTGCGCTGTCCCACGAGGTTGCTTGTGTCCAGTCGTGAGCCCCCAGCCCTGCTTCCGCGCCGCTGGGCACACTTCCCTACAATAGTAGGTACTCTTTCGGGACTGTAAAACCTGAAATTTCTCCCGTCCCTCGTAAAGACCCACTTGGATGACAACGCGGGCTTTTGGCATGAATTCCTTCTCATACGAAGTCAAGAACCGAGGTATTACCCACCAGAGAAACCTCACAGTTACGCAGTTATGTCTTGGACAGTCACGGGGGCCTTCCTACCCTGTCCTGTAGGGTCACTACGAGTTGGCCCGGGCTCAGTGGCAGGGAATGAGGGCTTCAAGGTCTATGTGACTGAAAAGCTCGGTGGGGAGACAGGCACCCTTACTGGTTCCTGCAGCGGAGAGACACAGCAGACAGTCACCAGGCAGCATGTGTTCCTGGGTGACTGGCACTTTCCCCTTCTTTTGGTCCTTATTAGACCCTCCTGTTTGGGCCATGTCCGAACTAGGCAGCTGAAGCAGGTCCTGGCCCTGCACGTGCTTCCCTGCACATCCCAAAGGTCAGCAGCAGGCGGAGCCAGCTAAGATAACCAGGGAAACCAGGTGTTCTGGGTTCGAAGAAAGCCACAAGCAGTCCACAAGCAATTCTCAGTTTCCATGCCCCATATGCTAATTGCCACAATTGCCATACATTCCTCACCACCCCTTTAAAAACCTGCGCCCCAGCTGCTGAGCAGGACTTCCCTGACCTGTTGGCCTAGGTCACAGAACCTAGGTCACCCCCACCCCCACCCCCACCCCCCAATAAAGCTATTTCTGTGTCTGCTCTCCCTTGTCCTGTCAGTTATGTCTGTCTTCCTCCCTGTACCTCAGTTTCACCTTTACACGTCCTTTTTTTTTAAAGATCATTTTATGGAGGGCTCTTAAAATTCTTATTACAACCCATACAATCACTTGTATCAGGCATATTTGTATATATGTTGCCAACACTCTTTTCTAGATGATTACTTTTATTAAGCCCTTGGTATCAGCTCCTCTTTTTTTCTCCGTACCCCCCCATGACCCCTGAATAGATGATAAATAGTTATTACTTTCATATCTCACACCGACCACTGTCTCCCCCCCCCATAGTTTCTGTTGTTCTTCCCCCTGGAGTGGGGGGGTGGTCGTGCCAATCATTGTGATCAGTTCCCCCTTCTTCCCCGCTCCCCGCCTCCCTTCCCATCTGGTATTGCTCTTCCATTCCTGCTCCTGGGTTGTGTGTGTCGTGAGCTCTTATCTCTTATCTACTACACCTGTGTGCATGCTCCGGTCTAGTCCAAAGTGAGAGGCAGCAC